GCGGTGGTGGCGGTGGTGGTGGCGGTGGCGGCCGCCGCGCCTCCCCATGGCGAAGAAAACCTACGACCTGCTCTTCAAGCTGCTCCTCATCGGGGACTCGGGGGTCGGCAAGACCTGCGTGCTCTTCCGCTTCTCCGACGATGCCTTCAACACCACCTTCATCTCCACCATCGGTCAGTGCCCCCCCCTGGTCCGTCCGTCCGTCCCGGGGGGTCCCTGCCCCCGGGCTCACCCTCGGCCGGGTCCCCTCCAGCACGTCCCCCCTCCCCCCCCATCCTTTTCCCGCTCTGGTGGGGTCCTGCAGCCTTCCCCTTCCCCCCCCCGGGGGGCTGCACCCCCGCTCTCCGCTTTGCCTCGCAGCTTTTGGTCATGTTTTCCTCTCTTGCGTCAGCTCCCCGCGTCCGAGTGTCCCCGAGGGTCCCGAGGGACCCCCTGTCCACACCCTTTCGCCTCCTTGCTCTCGCTGTCGACACGAAATCCTCGGAGAGCCGGCCGCCCTGGTCACACCCGACACCGGCTTCGCCTCTGCTGCAGGGAGGAATGGTTTGGTTTCTGTCCGCAGTTGAGCGCAGCAGTTTTCTCCGCCGTTGGTGACCCTGAGCGACCCTCTCCTTCCCTTCCTTGGGGGTTGCGTTGGCAGCTTGTCCCCCGCATCCTCGGCCAGCTAACAGCGAGAGCCCACCTGGCTCCTTCCGTCAGCGGTTAATCTCTAGCCCCCTGCACGCAGGAGGGCGATGGGATTGCCATCCCTGCACTGTATCTTCACCGCTATTGATGTGGCTTAGCAGAAATGATTACACTTGTGGGTGGGGTCTGTTTTCTCACCCAACAAAGCTGTCCTTCCCTCCTCCGGGAGTGAGCCGCCAGGCTTCTGGCAAAGCTGACTTTAGCCCTTCATTGGTGTGCAGCTCCTGACTAAGGTAGTTTCTTTGACATCGCGAAGGAGACCTGTTTGTTTTCCTTAGGCTTTTCCTCTCTCTGTGCTGTAAGGCAAGCCTTGTACCTAACAACCTTTCTCCCTAGGTTTATCAGAGAGTTTTGCTTTTCTTCTCCTGAATGCTGTCTCGTTTTGCAGATGAAGAGTTCAGGTTAGCAGCTTCTAATCTTCCTGGTGACTGACTCTGGCAATTTAAGAGAATTCATGCTTCTACTCTTTCTTGCAGTACCCAGTGGTGTAACGTGTGCAGATACCTACCGTGCATCTGGAAAAAAGAAAATCTTTTTGGGGGGTGGCTTTTTGTGCTTGATATAAATCCCTTAAATGATTGGCCGTACAGCTGTTCGCCAAGGGTGGGAGAACATACAGTATCAGTGTAAACTGTAGTGCTGGGTGTAAGTACATGCCCATATACTTCCTCATCGGTGTTGAAACGTCACCCCCAAAATTGCAGCTACGACTACAAGGCATACAAAGATGCTCTTAAGCAAGCCTCAGGTACTTGGAAGTGAAAGAAAGTATATTTGGGGGACAACTAAGTGTCAAGACACAGTTGTTGCCTAAAAGCTCTTTGGGCCTGAGCTCAGGGTTTTGCTTAATTGTTTTGAGGGGGCTGTGTGTCTGACAGTCACTTTATCTTGTCTCTTAACATCACATACCTTGACTACTGAAGGCTGTATTTATTTTGCTGCTGTGGCCATAGTGCAATTCTGTGCTGCTTGGCTAATTCTTGCCTGTATTACATGGCGTTTGTTGCTTTCTGAGTTTGCTGGGAAGGTTTATTTCAATTCTCAAAGTTAAAAGTAGTCAGTGTCTTAGTTAAGAAGTCAGCGGATATATGGTGGCTCTTGCTCCAGAGAACCTGTGCTTTTAGTGATCAGTGATGTTTAGTAATTAGTATTAGTTCTTAGTCTAACGGCAGTTTTTGAGCATTCAAGCAGAGTATCATCAGGTTTAGTAGCAAGTGTGCACGTGCAGAGCTTGGAAGCATTTCTGAACACTCAAACCAATTTAGACCAGTAGGTATTTGTTTCTGGAGAAGTTGTTTGTAGTGCATCTACACCGGAAGACAAACAAGTTTTATTTCCTAGGTTCTGAACTAAATGCCTAGGTACGGTGGCTGTGAACACCGCTTGATTACTGGTTGGTGTGTCAGGCTTGCGTCTTCACGGTGGGATTTAGCAGATTTTGGGGGTATGAAGGGGTTTCCTGTGTGGTGCTGAATTCCAGGTGCTTACGTGCACAAAGATGGCTTAAATGTATTGATTCCTTAGTTCTTCTGTAAGTGTTTAATGAGGAAACCTGCTGGGAAGGTGTCCTGTGCAAGCAGTGTCAGTGGAAAGGGAAACTGTACATTAGCGCCTTTAAAAAGCAGCCCATCTGTGAAGGAAGAATCTTGAACTGGGTTAAAACACCTGTCCGCTTAATTGTTCTCTGCATTATTACAAAGCGACTGAGTTATCTCAACTTACCACTAGTAACTATGGTTTTTAGACTTTCTCAGGTTTTCCTCTGCTGCAGCAGTGATGGCAGCAATGGCAATCCAGGAACGTAACACGGAGCCTGGAAAGGTGCTTTGCCTGGTGGTACCTGCTGGTGATAAATTCCCCTGCAGCAGCTGCACAACTTGGGCTGGTTTTGTAGCCGGAAGAGGAGAGTTTCAGGAAAAACCTCAGATGGAGTCTTTGACCTGTAGCAACAAGGAAATACTATTTCCAAAGCACTTGTGTACACAGTTGATGACATTGAAGGTGACTTGCTTATTGGCCAAATCTCTCCTTATATTTAAAAAAATAATACTTGGTAACTTGTTAACTCTGATTCATGCTTTTGTGTTTACACTGAGCTCCACCAAGAACCTGAGATAGTCAAGCACATAAAATGTGCGGTAGTACTGTTGGCTGTAAGCAGGGACTGGTTCAGTCTTTCTAGTCTTTATAGGAAAAGATGGGTCTCAAAGAATATTGAAACTAGCCTGTGTATATAAAAGACAAACAGGGGGAAGTGTTTTAAAACCAAAGGTTTGTCTGCATATGTAAGTGCAGCTACAATAATAATGCATTTCTACTTAACGTTAGTAACTTATATTCACTTACTTTCATCCTTACACATTTTAAGGACTGATGAAGCATGATCTGTGATGGCAGTTTGGATATAATTTGCTATACGTGTAATTTGGTATACTCTCTTTAACATTTGACTTGGAAGCGCTTTGATCTAATATTTCCTGCTAAAACAGCAGTTAAGCTTTTGGATGTGATGAGGTGCATGTGTGAATGATTTCATTACCCTGTCTAGAGGTACTATAAATAATCCAGATGGCTCTTCTGCAAGAATCCCTAAGTCATCGTAACCTCCCTACAGAGAGCAGGGGCCTTGTCCTCAAATGCTATGTTGCTGTTTCCAGGCAGAAAGGGAATAAATTTTAGAAGACTTGGTCTATCACAAACCATTTTTAATTTTAATAACTCTTCAGTAATTCTCTGGTGCAAAAATCATGTTTATGGTATCTCTTTTTTGGAGAAATTGTGGTGACTTTTCAGTTGTGCTCTACAGATACTCTACAGTTGGGTCAGGCCTGTCAGTGGTAGCTGTTCCTCTGGGCAGTGGTGTTGCTCCCTGGTGCTCCTAAGCACTGAGTACTGGAGGCTTCTCTTAAATGGACTGCTGCCTCGTCTGCCCTCTCTCCAAACACTGCTAATTTTAGTACTTTCTCTTCTGCCATTCATGCTACCAGCAGCTTTTCTTTATTTTTAACATTAAAAGTGTTAGTGTAAGTAGCTTCCAGTCAGTGTATAATTGAGATCTTAATTTTCTTTAGTAATTTTTTTATTGGTATTCAATGTGTCAAGTTAATGACAGCTTGAAGTGAACCATTGAAAAATGATCTGTCAGAGCTCTGGGGGCATGCTTTGTGAAGGTGTTCAGGGTCAGCAGGTGAAGCGCTGGCCTTTGGTGCCTGGGCATAAGCAGGTAGGGAGGGCTGTTCTTGCAGGGATGTCCGTCTAAAAATTTGAATGTCAAACCTGAACTCAAGCATGTAATTGCTATTGTTTGACTAAGTAAAATGCAAATTAAGATGAGTCACAAAAAATGTTTTCCCATGAAGTCTGACTACCTCTAGTAATGTGCTCAAGAGAACAAAGTGTATGTAATTATTGTGAGATTCCCTCTAAATGCTACTGATGTAGGTAAAGCTTTCATGGATCTTAACCCACACTGAAGATACATTTGTGTTCTGTATTTCTGGTCTTTGCTCACGCTGTCTGCAACTCTACAAATACAAAGAGAAGGAGAGAAAGCAGTATGAGTGTGCAAAACTGTATTGTTTTAAATGCAAAGGTATATGAAAACTACTCTCTGAGGAAATCCTTTTTTTTCTCAGGTTTTTTATTTCTTTGGCCTTTATTAGAAGTGACTTTGAGTTGCTAAGCTCTTGCTTTGGAATCATTGCATATTGATACATTTAAGCAGTGAAATTTTTAAAAAATAAGTCCTCAGATATCAAAAATAGTAAATATAACAAGTTTCTTCATACATCTTATGAGAATTTGTTTGCCCATGATTGTGATGTATTAATATTGGAAAGGAAGGAGTCCTAGACAGAGAATGGGGAAAAACTTGATCGACTGTGGGAAAACAAACTAGGCAGAAATTATGTTTTGAACTGTGAAAATTCTTTTGGCTGTATGATAGTTGCAGTGAAGTTTGAAAAACAAGTAGTTTCTGGGGTTCAAAAAAAGAGTGTTACTACAGCAGTTGAAAGTACTGGATTGCTTTTTCCTTAATATTCCTTTTTTGTCTCATACCTATAGCTTGTCGGCTTGTTGGAGCAGCAGACAACTTTGAGTTTTGTTTGTATTGTGCCCAGGCTGTGGGTTGAGTCTGTATCTGACTCCTGGCATGGAGCAGGTGAATTAGAAAAAAAACCAAAACAAACCTAAACCAACAAAAATCCCACCCCAACTCCTATTCAGTCATTTCCATGAAATCATCAGGCAGCAAGAGATGCAAAAATCATTTCTACATATAGGTAATTGAGCTGTAGAACTTTCTGTCATGGGAAGTTTTGGAGGGCAAAATATAAATCAGTTCAGAATGAAAGTAGAAAATTGAAGTGGATCCATTGGTGGCTGTTGGACATGATGCTCTGGATGCCATCTCGAGCTTGTGAATCCCCTCAGCTCTTGGTTGCTGGAGGTTGAACAAGTATTTTTTGGCCTGGAGAGAGTAGTT